CATACACGCATCTAAAGGTTTATTTGTCATCCAAATCCGGTTCGACACTCAAATGAACCGGTAACAGCAAACGGTAGGTATTACCCAGGGCTGCCAACTGTCACGCATCTGGCGTGACGCACACGCTTTCAGACTCATGCTTGCGCAAGAAATCTTACGGCAAATCTGTATTATTTTATTATAAACCTAAAAATAGCTACGTGAAAAGCCTTTGGGTAGTTTGCAAATCCTACATTACAAGGCAGTTCAATTCTTACATACATATAAATGCGTGTGCAGACTTGTCTCAAATTGAAAACATGCCAGCCAGCTGACCAAAAGCTATCAGCCCTAAGGTGGTGACTTGGATTTGTTACTCTCTCCCAACATGCAACACATTCACGATTTGGAAGCGTAGAGGCATGGACATCATTGAGGAGTTGGTCCCTAAAAAGAATTTGACATCGGTAGTCTGGAACTTAGTTTGGATTTTCTAAAACCGACATGACACAAGCAAAAGTATTTTTGCAAAATTTGGCAAGATAATTCAGCACCTCAAAAGAAAACACCGGAACGAATATGCTGACAGTCAGTGAGGGGAACCCGCATGAGTGCATCAGGTGATAAGGTGCTACAACCATGCAGTCATTTGCAAAAACGGTCTTAAAAACGGACATGAAAATGAATTGTGAAAACAGTGAATTATCGCGATTTTTTTCAGGCAGGTTATGTTATTTTTGCCATATGTTTTGTGTTGCCCTTGATGCCCCCACCCTACCACACTCTCCTCTCCCTCAGATGGAAGTCACAAGAGAGGCTGACCCACGCTCCCGCCTTAGGGCATCACGGACTGAGATCGCCATGGCGATCGACGACCCCTTCCCGCTGCTCTATGGACTGGCCGATCATGACATCATTACCGACCAACAGTTCAAGGTCCTCTTTATTGTTACCTGTATCCCAAGTGTTTACCAATCAGTATTAAAGGCTAAAAAACCTACAGCATTCCAGCTCCTGACTGGAGAATTAAGGTCCTTTGTATAGCCAGCTAACATCACTCCAGGAGGGCTCCCTGGCCCGTGCCCCCCGGCCTGTCCCTGGCCCGTGCCCCCCGGCCTGTCCCTGTCCCCCCGGCCTGTCCCTGTCCCCCCGGCCTGTCCCTGTCCTGTCCCAGGCCCCCCGGCCTGTCCCTGTCCCGGGCCCCCCGGCCTGTCCCTGTCCCGGGCCCCCCGGCCTGTCCCTGTCCCTGTCCCGGGCCCCCCGGCCTGTCCCTGTCCCNCCTGTCCCTGTCCCGGGCCCCCCGGCCTGTCCCTGTCCCTGTCCCGGGCCCCCCGGCCTGTCCCTGTCCCGGGCCCCCCGGCCTGTCCCTGTCCCGGGCCCCTCGGCCTGTCCCTGTCCCGGGCTCCCGGGCCTTTTTCACATCTGAACCATTTTGGTTTTAAAATCCTCTGGGGGCTTTAAATGAGGCTGCCCGAAACGTATGTGTCACACCTGCTCCTGCAGGAGACACTGGAGCAGAAGAGGCGGGAGGGAATTCACAAGGCCGTCTACTCTCTCCTCACCTGGCTCCTAGACCGGGAGGCCCATGTTATCCAGGCCTTCTGGAACAACCTGTCCAAGGAGTACAACCAGGAGAGGTACCCGAAACTGCAGTCTCTCTTCGTTGGCCTCCGGCAAGGTAAGACGGAGTGGGTATCCTTGTGTGTGAGAGTAGACTTCTATGGAAAAGCGGCATGAACGAACCTGCTTGCTGACAGACAGGGAGAGTTTGAGTTCAAGGCATGGAAAGAAGTCGTCAGGTGGATCCCGACTTTCCGTTCAGCCCCCGGCGCCTCTGGGCCGGAAGCGGAGCCCAGAGAGGGGGCAGCGAGCCCAACACCCCCACCACAGCAAGCACCAGCGCATAACCGGCCCAGGTGAGCTCAGTTCCAGCAGGGGATGGGGGTGCGGCCCTCTGTCTCAGACAAACGTGCCATAAACCTTAAACTGTTTCACAGGAACCAAACCGAAATCAGTTAGGAAAACGGAGAGCGCCGATGTATCCCGGCCACCCATGGGGAGCGGTGAGTGGGGAGAACCGGCGGCCGCTTAGCGGAGCCCCAACTCTTAAAAAGCTGGAGAAGCCTTTGCGTCATTTAAATGCTGCCAGGTTTGAGTGTAACCGTGTGCTCCTGCCAGGAATCCAGGCAGTGGCCGCCTCGGTGCAGAGGGCCGTCACCTTGTCGTCCGGCGAGCTGCCGGTTAGCTGTGAGGCCATGGAGGGAATCCTGATCAAGCAGGTCTTCGAGTCCGGTGGGTGTCTTGCAGGGCCGGTCCAAGGCATACGTGAGCAAAGCGACTGCGTCGAGCCCAGTGGCCACCAGGGGGCTCCCCATCTGATCCAACTGTCAGAATGGGCAGGAAGATGACAATTGACAACTAGGTTAACCAAGTTTCGCTTATGACCCTGGGTCGGCCCTGTTTTGTTCCTATAGCTGCTTTCCAGGTGGGACCTGGATGGTTTGCATACCTTTTAACCAAAGCAATTCTTTGTACATACTTCAATAAACCTATCTGTCATACCGTGCCCAGTGATCCGTGACAGATATTCAGAGCTGCCAGTAGTTGCCCTTTTGTCACTGAATTTCCACTGAACTCCCCAGCAACTTTTGCTTTCTGACATGCAGGAACCACCAAGAAATGCATTAAACTGGGCAGCGAATTCTATTCCCCTGCCAAGCTTGATGAGCTATCTGGAAGACACAAGTCAAAGACCGCAAAGACCCAAGTCCGCAACAAGGGGGCGCCAAGCAGCAAAATCAAGGAGGTTGGTCAGTTCATTTTCATCACATGCTGTGGCTTAAGAATTGACTTCTTTGTGATTCTGTATTGATTCAGAAAACAATGCGCTGTGGTTGTATTTCAAAACAGGAGGAGTGTCTTCCAAAGAACTCACCTAAGTACTGTTTAGTAGGAATAATAAAAATGAACTCGAGTGCTGCTTTATCTTTATTGAGGACAATACTGTTTACAGCTCCAGTTGAATCAGTGGCTTCTTCTAAAGAGCACTTCTCTTGTTTTACGGTGAATCAGCACCGTAAAATACTGTATAAATATTGAACATGCTTGTACACATTAACACAAACGGAACCGTTTGGTGGATGTGACGGCTTGAGGTGTAAAGAAGTTAACGAAATTGCTTTTTGAGCGGTAAAGGTGTCGGGAGGTCAGCCAATATTACAAAGAGCTGCTTTTTTTTTCCGTGAACAAATTCGAAAGTAATACAATCGAATGAAATGAGAGGAATTTTTTTTTTTATTGTATATTGGGACATTTATCCATTGAAAACTTGTTCCTCAGGAAGAAGTTCATCCATCCGTCTTCCAGACTCTTATCCTGGACAGGGTGGTGGGGGGCCTGGAGCCTGTCCCAGGCAGCATGGGGCACAAGGCAGGGGTTCCCCCGGGATGGGGGGGGCAGGCCGCCACAGAGCGCACGCACACGCACAGATGCACGCACACATTTCATACATTCCTATCATTGTGGGGACTCTATTCATTTCTGTGGGCATATCCACAATCCTTACTACGAGAACCTTAACCCCTTTTCCAGGAAGACACCTGGATTCAGGAAAGTACAATAACTCCTTCCCAGCTCTAACCTTAACCATAAGTAAGCATTCAAAATATAAGACTTGGCTTTTTTAAATTGCACTCACAGATCTTTATAAAATCGAGTTTCCCCTTGTGGGGACGGGGAAAATATCCCCACAATGTGCTGACCAGACACACAGACACACACCGTTTACCGCACTTGGTATGAATATGATCTTGCCTGCTTTTTGCTGCTGTTTTCAGACTTTAAAAGGTGTGGGTGGGGTTTCGCTTTTGCTTTTCCCGAAAAGGGCCCTCAGTCTGTACTCACAGCTTCTCCTCTGTCTTTGACGCCTCCGGCTGTTCTTCTCTCTCCATTATGCTTTTCCAGGAAAACACCTGGATTCGGGAAAGTACAGTGGCCACATGTTAAACCTTCATGCATGTGGCCATTCCATGTAGCATGTGTGATTAAAGTAATATTTTTATTTAGCTTTTCTTGATTCTGGCATTTCTCTGTAAACAGACCTTGCCCCTCGTCCGGCTGTCCTCGTCCGGTCACCCTCGTCCGGCTGTCTTTGTCTGGCCTGCAGCTTTCAGCGTGCCAGTGGAGACCCTCATCGAAGGTCCCGTGTGTGTGTGTTTGCCCAGGTGCTGCGCAATGACGACGAGTGTGCCGTGTGCAGAGACGGTGGCGAGCTGATCTGCTGCGACGGCTGCCCCAGGGCCTTCCACCTGGCCTGCCTCCTGCCTCCTCTCTCCTCCATCCCCAGGTGAATGTCCTGGGAGCAGTGCATTGTGGGTAGTGCAAAGGACCATGGGTGGGAAACATCAAGTAGAAGCACCAGGAGATTTGGAGCTGTGACACACCCCCTCCCACCCAAAAAGAGCCACTACCTAGCAGCAGTGGGAATGATGGGATTGCTGTGTATCACTTTGGTTACCTTCATGATTCCCATTGGTTAAGCCACATGGTGATTGACAGCAGAACACGATCATGCCCACTGTTGCCTTTCAGCCCTTAGTTCTCCACTGTATTCCTCTGCTAGAATTAAAAAAAAAATAGGTACTATCCTCTGTTTTTAAAGGTAATAAGGAAGGAGCAAAACCATGACATACACACACACACACACACACACACACACACACAACATTCAATCACACAAACGTAAGATGTCCATTTGTTTACACACTGCAGCGGTACCTGGCGCTGCCAGCGATGCCTTGGCGAGCAGCCGGAGGATGTGAAGAGCCACGTGCCCACACAGGCCAGTGTGCGGATTGGGAGGCCGGGTGCCCCTTTGCCATGCTGGGAATGTGGGGGGGGCTAGTCTTAACCTTGGGTAGGAGGAGGGTTGGGGGCAATCAAAAATGCTGAATCTGGTAATTAATTATGCATTTATAATGTCTTGTGCTTTCAGTAGGTGATCATTAACTTAAATGGTAGCAGCATGGCCTCGTGGAAGCATGAACGAGGTGAAAAGTTAACTGGTGCGTTCGAATGTGTGCGTGTGACCTGCAGCCCCCCCCCATGACCGAGGCGACCTCTGGCCCCACCGTGGATTTCTCCTTCTTCACCACACTGTCCTCAGCCTCCCTGTCCAGTGTCACCACCACCAAGAGCTGCCTGGCCGCAGAGCCACAGGTTGGATTGGGTGGGGGGGCGGTGGGTGTGGCCAAGCAGGAAGGGGCGGAACTCCCTATTGGAGAAGCAATATTCAAATAGGCAAACTCGATAAATAAATATTTAAAGTATTTATTGAAGTCAATAATTGCACATCATAATGAGGACACCAGACTTTCTTGGGAGACACCATGTATGCAATTAATTCAATTGGGTCGAGTTTTTGTCATGCCCCTGTGGGGGGGGGGAGGTATGAAATTCGCTATGATGTGGGTGAAGGAAGAAGCAGGGGCCTGCTGCTGTGTAATGCCGCTTCCTTTAGGTCTTCATGCTCTCCGTGGCTTTCTGAGGTCACCAAAACCTTTTTACTAAAAACCCACCATTCTTAGTAACGGTAAAACGTGATTAAAGAGCCCAGACCGGCACTATGCCTTTGTGTGTCAGTACCGGTGGCCCGACAGGTAACAGCCAATAAGCTCGAACGAAACAAATTCAGTTGCAGCCGATAAGCTGGAATGAATGAAGCTTGGCCACAGCCCAAATAAAACTCATGGGTTTCTAGAGCAGAGTCAGACTGACATAATCACATAGTTATGTCTCTAGTTGTGTGTTGACTTAAGGAGACTAATGTCCTTCAGGAATCTTCAGGAGAGAGTTTGGGTGGTTCCGAAACAATAGAACTCTGGAGTTCAGTTAACTCAAATGGTGGTGTTAAATGGTCATTATACATGGTATAACAATGTATAAATAAAATGAGGAAATGATTCTCATTGGAAAGGGATCATTCATACTAATGATATTGTAATTAGTGCTACACTATGATACACCAGAGTCCTGTTTATGTGCTACACTGATGACTACGATGATGACGGGGACTTTGATGTCGGCTGCTTCCTCCCGAGGTGGGGGCAGGGCAGCAGTGCGCCGTGTGCCAGCTCAGCGGGAACCTGACTTTCTGCCTGCAGTGTCTGCGGGGTTTTCATCCGCACTGCGAATCCCTGAGGTGAGCCGGACCGGGGCTGCAGACGAAAGCGTGGCCACATAACACATCTCATACAGTACAAACAAAGGCCTGTCGTGTCCAGCGCGACACCAGTTTAATGTCACTTTAATGTTTGATGTTACGGAGTAGTCCCACTTCTTTACACCCCTGTTTCCATGCCAAACGGCCAGTGGGAAGTCCCGGTGCCGCTCCTGTTGCGAGATGTGGCCCAGCAGCGCCGAGAGTGTCCAGCAGGAGGCGCTGTCCCTGACTCTGCCGGTATGGTACATGCCGGGGTCTGCGGGGACAGTGTGACCATGGAGTAAGGAATACGGCTGTTAGTGGTTTACCAGGCTTGGAATAAATACAGAATATCTTGCTTTTATAGTCTCTCTCTTGGATTTTTATCCCGGCACATTAATAAAAGCAGAATAACAAACGCAATATTTCAGCATCAGACCACAACGTTAATTACTGTCCACACCTAAATCCATTCTGTAACCCACATCCTGTGCTCTGCCTTCTCCCCGGGGATAGCCCTCACACCCTCAAACATTACAGTGAAAATAAGGCCATAAACAAAAAATACAATAAGCACTATACAAACAAACGAAAACAAACACATGATGTTAAAGTTTTTAAAATGCCTACATAGCAGGCCATGGAATTGGCTATTAGCCACATATTTTAGATAGCATGATCGGACCTGTTTCGTTTTTGGGGAGGTTAGTCCAAATAGCTAGTTTTTTTTCATCTCAAAATACATCTTATATTCGGGGTCTAGACAAGAAAGGGAATAGATGGCACCAAATACGATATTTTGTAATGAGTGTTTCGACTTACTGTTGCATAGATTTGTCGTAAGAATTCTTGCGTAAGTCTGCAAGCGTGAGTGTCACGCCAGATGCATGTGAGTCTGCAAACGTGAGTGTCACGCCAGATGCGTGTGAGTCTGCAAACGTGAGTGTCACGCCAGATGCGTGAGAGTCTGCAAGCGTGAGTGTCACGCCAGAGAGTTGGCAGCACTGACTGTGCGTTGTGTTTTAACGTGTATCCCTGAGTGTCGCGTAAATTGTTGACTTCCCTGTCTGTACCACTGCTGGTATTAAATCAATAGTGGCTGTTAAACATAGTAACATTCGTTTTAAGAGAGCTGTTATATCATCTATTAATATGGCTCCACTCTCCGCAATACGTGTTCCTGCTGCATCAAAACCATTCTGCGCTCTCAATGGCTTCTGATATTTATTATCTACTCCTCTTCAAAATAGTACTGCTTTCTAAGCTGCGGTTGCTGGTTAATTTACTATATATTCTGTCAAATAAAATTATTTGTCGCTAGATAGAGATTTTGGGCCCCATGAAACCATATCAAATTGTGCCCCTCAATTCAGACCAATCCAGTTATTTTCCTAATTTTGTTGGCCCCCTGTCACTCAAGGGCCCTTGGAATCGTCCCAACCTTCCCCCACCCCTGGTCTTTAAAATAAGATTTTGGTTTTCCAAAAGCATTTTTCTAAAAATAATTGCCAAAAAGTGAGGGGTCATTTCAGTCAGGATTGTCTTATATTTGGGGCAAAACGGTAATATGTTAGTTAGGCTCCATTCTTTGTTGGGAGGGTTTCAGGGAGCTTTTTAGGGATGATCTTAATTTATCCAGTTTCACACGCTGCAGTATTTCTTAGATGCGCTGGTTTTGGGTGGGTGGGGAGAGAATGTAGTGTTTGAATGGCAGGTAATACTTTACTTGAGGGGACACAAACACTTAGTAATTACTCTGTTACTACTGAAGTACAAATCATGAATGAATATAGTGATTGCATGATTTGCATATAACGACGGGTTGGGCATGGGAAGGGGGGAGGGTTGAGGTCTCCACTCATTTAAGGTGGTCCAGGGGGGTTGTACTGGCTGGTTTTAATTATTGTGGGGGGGTTACAACGACTCATTGAGGATGAACAAACACAACATCAGTATTTCACTTGTTATTCATGACTTGTTCCTTCATTAGTTCACAAAGGTTTACGGAATTAACAGATGTAGCAGCATATATAGTAGCTGCTTGAGATAAATGCGTCACAAGTCATTCATGGTAAATTAACATGAGATCAGTATGTAACATACATACATACAAACATACATACATACATACAAACAAAAATAATAGCACAATACTATATAATTTGTGCCCCATCAAGTAAAGGATTACAGAATGTTAGACGCTAGGTTGTTATTTCAGAAATATGTGAAGTAAAGAAGCGAATTGGACGAAGGAATGCAGCCGACGTCATGCCTCTGTTTATGAGAACCTGGGGTTTTTAAAGGGTTACTGTGGGGGGGGGGGGGGGGGGGGGGGGGGGGGGGGGGGGGGGGGGGGGAGCTGCAGAATGTGCTGAAGGGGGGCATGCACAACTCACCGAAGATGACAACTGAGGTGTGAAAGGAAGCTCAGGAGAGCTGAAAACTGAGTCTCTCTGGGAAACACCTTTGCAGGACGCACTCCGGTCTGATGGAGTTTATTAAAGAGCAGCTTCAAAGCCCCTGTCTCTGGGCCTCCTCCGCGAGGAGAAGAGACTCCGTCAATAACGCAAGACGTGTTTATCTTCGGAGAAGCAGGAAGTCGTCCTTTGCGTTCATTCAGAGGTCATTCGCAGGGTCACAGGTTGCGGTCTGATGGCGATCTAGTGCAGCTGGCTGGCATGAGATGCTGGGTCCCTGTGCTCCCACCAGGTGGCGCTGTATGAGGACCCAGAAGAGCAGGGTGCCATGCTCGCTGGAGACTCACTGAACAAAGACGAGCTGGAACCCATCATAGGGGAGGTGAGCAATGGGGAACTCCCAACGTCAAATGATGTCTGCAACACATGTAGGCGATGGTGGCCCCGGGCAATAGGATTCTAGCGAAAAGCGCCATCTTGGCTAGTCCAGATTAGCATCTGCCCGTCTCTCCAAACAGAATTCCATAGACGGGATCCTTCAATGGGCTCTCCACAACATCTCACGCCCCCTCTCTGAGAGACAGGGCTTCTTCCAGTGAGGGTCTGGTTATCCTGGCGTTCTGACCATCAGCGTGCACATTGGATCATGGAGAAGACGAAGATGGGCACCGCCTGAGATGCTGGGTGGCGGGGTTGATGTTTACTATGCTGATAAGAATGGCTCTTGCGTAGGGGGCTGTGGTTTTCTGCTTGCAGAAGATGACGTTCGTTTTCGCTCAAAAGACACTAAATCAGGGGTTTTTGATAAGACTTTACTTGATGGGGCACAAGTACTACTGTAAGTAGTGACTTGCTTACTACTGAAATACAAACCATAAACAAATGTAGATGAGAAAACAGTGTTTCACATGTGTAATTCATTACTTGTTTCTTCAGTAGTTCACAAAGGTTTAAAGAATTAACATATAGTAAGTTCTTGAGAAAAAAAGATGATCATGATTCATTAACAAACATGAGATTATTTAATCTGCACTATTCATGATTTGTTTCTTCAGTAGTTAAAGGTTTACAGAATTAAGATACAGATCTCTGCTTGAGATAAAACGTGCGTCGCAATTCATTAATGATGAACGAACATGACATCAGTATGTAACTAAGACTTAGTTTGTGATTAATTAATATATTAGTAATGGTATAATACTATATTATTTGTGTCCCGTCTAGTAATGTGTTACTGTTTTAAATTTTCCCATAAGTGATTTCAAGAAACACGTGGAGGGGCTTGTGAGCAGAAAATACAAAGAAAAAGTGTGTATTTCAAATAATTTAATTGTATAAAACACAATCACAAATCAAGTCATATAAATGCCGTGCATTAGATAGGAGATTCATACTGAGTAAGGGACTAAAAATGAACAACTTACAGGAAAAACATACTGATTATTAAAGCAACAGCTAACGTACAAAATACACATAGATGAGTAACATCTTATTACATATTAAATATCAAAAACATTATAACATTTCCAAAATCCTTTCTTCAGAAGGTTTCATCTGGCTCAGGGATATCATGCAGGGAATTCTCAGAGGTAAGCAGATAGTCCGCAGACTATCCAAAATTTGTACCTAATGTTGTTAGATTTAGGTGAGCTGTAGCGCTTTCAGAGATCAGAACGGCAGTCTCTCCAAAGATTTGATTTTATTGTCCTCCCGTGAGGAAACTTTGGGACTGTATGCCAGGCAGCTTCTTGTGATCCAGAAACATCCCGGAAATAAACTGCCTGTTTGTCCACAAGTCCATTCCTGCGTCATCGTTTGTGTAATAAAGGGCTTCTTTTGCCACATCCTGCTTCAGAAAACAGTCCTACCTGTTTGACAGAGAGGAGGGACGAGAAACAATTAGTGTTTCCGGTCTGTTGACACAGACATTAATGCTGATAAACACGACCCATGCCGGAGCGAGTGAAAATTATGCCAAATAAATCTCAGCTTCCATGTTTTCCGATAACATTGCCTGACGGCGTTTTTTTAAAAAGCAGCACCTGCTTACCTTGCCTGGTCGCGGCTTTGGACCTGTGACTGAAATACCTGCAGACGGGTCTGATCCAAGGTAGCTGTTGGAAAGACAGACGGGATGATTATGACGACGTGGGAGATGCGAGTGGCTCAAAACCGTGGGGCAGATTTAGAAGAGACTTACGGGTCGTGCCACCACACTCCTCTGCGGCCGCTTGAATCCGAGTTTGCTCATAACGCTGGGAATATTCAGGATCGGCCGGACATTCCTGGGAATGGCAAGGATGGAGAGAAAAGTCAGTAGCTGTAGACTGATGACTGTGAGTAACCTTGGGTTAAGCAGGCAGTGATCAACAGACCGCGGACAACTAACACACTAGGTGTTTGGAATCTCACCCTGATTGCTAGTTTATATGGTCAAACTGTTTCATTTTACAAATGTAAGGACCCATTTATTTGGCGTCTGGTAATGTCTTTCAACAACTGCACTCCTTACTGACCCAAAGGCTGAAGAATCTATAATCACCGAACTCGCCGAAGTAAAACAGTAAGCTATGCCTGTCATTCATCGGCCGTGCTGGTAAACATGCAAGTCTCAGCCTGTCCTCTGCAGCATGTGCTCCTGTGTTTACCCACATCTTGGCAGCCTTGCCCCTATGCCAGTCACACTGTAAGTCAGAAAAACAGGACAGAAAATCACCGTTGGGGCTGTGGAGTGGATGTTGTGGATCTGGTGGGTATGTCTTCCACTGTGATCTCATCCTCCTCTTCATCGGTGCTAGGGATGCAGTCCCAGAGCTCACTGTTAACCCACAGCGAGTCCTGGGGACCCTGGCCGGGCAGGCCGACGCAGGTGGTCCAGCGGCAAAGGGGGCAGCGCACCGTGCACAGGTTACAGGAGTCATGACTGGCCAAGCACTCCAGGCACGGCGTGCAGAAGGTGTGCTTGCAGTGCAGCCGGCGCGGCACGCGCTTCTGCCGCGTGTAGTGCTGCAGGCAGACGGGACATTCGCTGTCGTACTCGCTTCCGGGCATCTCTGCTTCTGCTGCTGGATTGCGGGGGGCCGGCTTGGTTTCTCGTTACCCTCTCAGCTGTGCGCTGGTTCCTAGGCTCGTTCACGCACAGGGCCGTGTATGAGAAATGTACTGCGTGGACGGGGGGTGCGATCTGTAAACGAACGGCAAATGTAAACATGTACGCATCAACAGTCTAAAACATGTCTAAAAACTATGTATACAACTATATACATATATATATAGATAACAGCAACATATTTTGTAGCAGACAACGTTTTGTTAATTATTTAGCTGTGTAAACTGGATGCTCTCAATTTGTCTGAAACTGTAGTTATTTGCTCTCAGAAGCACTATTCTGGGCTAATAGCAAATATGCAAGAAAGGAAAATCAGCACCGAGACGCCCGTTCAGACTAAATAATACACATATATGCAATTTGTACTTCTTTGTTTAAAAGTTGTTCTCATTTAGTGTATAACCAATGCAGTTCAAAAACACTACAAAATATCCGATCATAACAAGAACCAATCAATTAGGAGTGATCGATACTCACTGAGATGGGTGTAAGCGTCGCGCTACTCCGGATTAAACGCGCTAGCTGTTATTCCCTCCTGTCTTTCCCCTGTCACTGAGATCGGCAATCCATACAGCAATGACACCATGTGCATTTATAGGCCCGATTGTCCTTGTGACGTAGAGCAGATCCCGAAGAAATTATACGGAAAGAGGCGTGGTTTGGCAGCGCCTGCGAGATGCGGCACCCCGGCAGCCCTCTAGCGCGCTGTGTCACGGATCAGGCGCCCTCATGTTTAGCAATCATTACGTACTCTATCAACCGGTTTTGCTCTTCTGTCATTTGTTCACACTGTACACATACACGATTTCTTTGGTAATAGTTTTCATCCTTCTGTAATTATCATGTAGTTATCATGTACGTGTGGCACGGTGTTTTCCACACCCATTTTAGTGTTTAATCTCGGGATTATCTATCTATCTATCTATCTATCTATCTATCTATCTATCTATCTATCTA